TAATTTCAATTTGGTTCATTATTCTTTGAAGTTACTAACGTTTTATTCATGATGTAGCAATTTAAAGAAGCACGGAACGTGAGTAATTAATTCAATTACTTACTTTTATTTATATTGCTAGTATCATGTTAGGGTTTATTATTATATTTTTGATGATTTGACTAACGATATTATGGTTAAATTTCTTCCAATATTATTGCTTATTTTATATATTTATTGATCACCATATTGGATGTTTAAAGAGAATATGTAATTGAAAATCATGCCTAATAAGATAATTTTGACGACCGATTTAGGTTTCTTTTAAATCTTGTTGTTTAATCAAAGTGGTCACTAATAATTAGAATTATGTGTTGCATTAATGTACAGCCAATTTAGCTTAATTTAGTTTGGAGCAAATTGAATCTTTGTTTGTATGCCTTTGAGATCGCAGAAAATACTTTTCGCAATAAGAATCGAGTAGAGGCTAATACGGGGGAATGTGACTTCATGAATCACTTCGTACCATCATCCCCGATCCTCTTTTCATGGTTCCGAACCATATGGAATTAGTAATCTCATGGATTATGTATGGGGTGTAACCTTCACGGGTCAATCATTGTTGCCTATCGTTGTCCCTTTATCGTGGTTGCCTTATAATGATCCGTGAACGGTTTACAAGTTCCTTAAAAGCTTGTTGGCCGCTCCCTACTTTTATTGTCTCCTATCGTATAATGTCAAATCCCGCTTCCTATGAGTGCCAAGCATATTCACAACATGCTTAAGTAGGCCCACTTCAATTGGCGCCTACATAAGGGAATCGGTTTTTCCAATCTCCGAGGAACCACCTGGACAATCTGAAGTTCAATGCAACCTTGTGAAAGGAATGTTGTCCTTCGAACAAGAGTATTATTCCAATAGAGGGTTCAAAATTAATTAGAAAGCTTATTATTCACTGAGGTCAAGTGATTGGAATGCCTAGCTGGAGGCCGCTTCCGATCAGTAATATTAATGAATAATTAATATTACAGCTTAATCTAGACTGAACCCTTCGGGTCACACCCAATCGTGTAACCAAATCGAAGCGACGAATTCATCCGAAGGATTAAATGAGTCAATAGAGTTTTTACGAACAAAGACGTCGGATTCCGAGCTTAGAGCGTCAAACCGAGCGTCGTAAGTTGAGTCAAATTTAGGAAACGACGAGACGGAAAAATCAGCCAAATGACAAGTCACAACGTATAGCCCTAGCCTCAGAATGGCCGAGCCATCCGAGGGATAGGGAAAAATGGCTAGCAAAGGCTGCCAGCATGCGCGTGCTAGATTAGGGAGTTGCGACATGCCGAGCTAGCTAGCAGCTAGCATCGCATGCCAACATCGCTGGCTAGCTAGCATCGCATGCCAACATCGCTGGCTAGCATGCTAGCAGCACTAGCCCCGCAAGAGCCACGCACCATCGCAAGCAAGGCCAGCAGCACGCAAATCCTTGATGGGCCTTGCGCGAGGTAGCAGAAGCTGCTAGCTGGGCTTGGCTAGCGATAGCAGCGCCCAGCGCCCCGCAAGCAATGCGTGGCCTGCTGGTGCGAGGGCTGCTACGCGTGGGCTGGCTGGCAGGCCCAGCCTAGACGTTAGGCGCTAGCGAGGCTGCCTTGGCTACCAAGGCAAGCTGCCAGCTAGCATGCGCCTATTGGCCCGATTTATTGTGGGAGTTTGGCTTGGGGATCAAGGGAGGTGTGGTCCTCCCATGTGGTCCTCACCTAACCCCTTTCTCTCCTCATGCCACTTGCCGTTAAGTGATTCATTTGGCTTTTTAATTTAATTTTAGAATTAAATTAAATTCTATTTTGCCTTTTTACCAACTATCCCTCATTGAAAGATGATGGAAATACTAATCATTTGGCATTGGAATTCCTGCGCATAAAAAAAAGGAACATACACCGTCCTGTACTCCCAGCAGAAGTTATGGTCAAATATAAAGTCGCATAACTCCCCCCATATGTTCATACTCAAGGTATATACATTCCAAGAGTTTTGGTGCGTATTCTCTTTCACTTTATGTTATTTACATATTATTAGACTTGATGATGACTCTCAAACCATAACACAATCAAACATTATAATTCATTAAAGCAATCAAACATACCAATTTAATTCTTGAATAATTAGTGACCACATAAATTTAATGTTGAATCCTTTTTAAACTACCTCGGTGTCAAAGACACCTTAAACGCATAAAGCACCACAAATCCTAACCCTCGGTGTTAGAAACACCTTAAGTGCACTTAGGCACCAAAATACAATTTAATCCTCGTGTACATAGACCCTTAAATAGCTCCTTCTTATGCTTATAGCATTAATAAAAATTATATGAACCATAATTAAATTTCCTTTTCAATATTCCAACCAAATTAAACACTTAGTTTAATTAAACATGCCTCCAATCATGCTAATAATAAAAATGCGGTTCAAAATCAACATGCCAATATAATTGATTCCAATAAATAATTTATTTCAACCAATCATGCTTCACAAACATTTCACCAAAATCATTTTAATTCAATCAATCCAATTCAAATCACCAAATCTCATCTCAATTTGACAATTCCAACCAATTCCTAGCATGATACTAACTTGGAATTAATTAAACAAAGCCTAGCATGCTTCTACATATTCAAATAATTACCAAGTACGCGAACGTACCTTGTACAATCTCAAAATCGTCACAACTAAATAAAATCACTCACTGGCATTAATACCTATTCCACACAAATTTCCAACAATATATACACTCTTTAAATCACTCATAAACCCTCTAGAAAATAGCTGAATTTAATTTAAAACCCTTACTTTTATTCTCAGTTAATGGGTAATAAAAAATCCTTTCAAGAAACATAATTATATCCATTATATAAAAATTCCAACTTTATTAAACTATGTAAATTGCTGTAATTATGTTTAAAAACATCTGATTTAATAGTTTCAATCACTTACAATCAATCTCCATCAACACACATTAATTTAGAAACCTAGGGTTTTCAATTTGGGGTTTTTTAATTCAAAACCAAATCTAAAAATTTATATACTCCCTCCGTTAATTTTTATTTGCAACTTTTGCCATTTTAGTCCGCTAACAATTATGTGCAACTTTCTATTTTATTTCCATTTTTGGTAAACAAAAACCCTGAAAATTACTATTTTACCCTTACTGAAAATTTCTGATTTTTTTAATTTTATCCCTTATTAACCTTAATCCCACATTATATATAAAACATCTAAATTAACCTAATCTAATTACTCCCTCCATTTATTTCCCCCAATCCACTCCCATCAATCACATTCCCAACCACCCACATTTAATTGATGGCGTTTGGGATTATTTGTGTGATCTGGAGTGTTCTTAAGAACCCTATATCTGGTTCTTCGTCTTTCTCTCTCCTTCGCCTCTGTAATTTTCCCCATTGTTCCTTATCAAATCTGAGAGTTCGTCCTCACAACTTCCAAAAAACGAGTCCCCCACCACCATGGTAAACCTAGATCCACTTGGCGACGCTTATATTGCCACCGACGACCGCGACGAGGAAAATTTGATTAAAGCCCTGATTACAGGTATCGCTGAAGGATCTCCTTTTCCTCGTGAATTTTACGAGTGTGATGAGGCCCAGAACTTCTGTTCTTCGACCACATACAAGGCCTTGGGCCAAGTTCTTGAAAGCCTAGATGAGGACGAGCGTCTCAAGACCGGTGAGGGTCAAGGAGATTCACGGGGGAAAAAAGCGCTAGATTTTACTGGTGTTTCTGTAGATCTAGTGTGCGACAGTGGTGAGGGGAGTGTTGTGCCCAAAACTAAGCCAAGATCTAACACTCCAAGGCCACCCACCAAGATTAGGGCTAAAAGGAAGGCGGCGTTGGTGGCTATGAGCCGTATGCGGGGGTTGCCTGACAAGGAGGTCATTGTGCTGTGTTCTGATGATGAGGTTGAAAAAGGTGACGACGGTGAAGTGGTTGGCCCTCCTCTAAAGAAGCACTCTGCGAGGCGGATGAACCCTAGGGTTCAACCCTCCAAGTGACCCTTGCGTAACGATTCCTAACCCTACCTGTGTTAATTTTTTTTAAAAAGGAGTCCCTTTTTTTCGATATACTGTTGATTAGCTTTCGTATTTGGTTGGTGTTGTGGGATTTTGTCACTAGATCTGGATGCATGTTGTCTTAGTTGGTTTTGTATGCGTTGATCTAGATTCATGTTGGGTGGTTGCTTATTTTTTATTGCCTGCTCTTTTGTCATGTTTGTTGTTCCGGACTTTGTTGGCTAGATAGCCTATTTGTTATTACCTGGTGAGTTGGATGCTTGGCTATGTCTGCTGTTTTGGACTATGTTACATGTATACATGTGTTGGAGTATATTTTAAGAACTGTTGGATTGTTGGAATATGGCATTTGGTGCATATGGGTGTTTGATTGATGAATGATGAGGCTAATGTGTCTGTACATTTTTTAAAGGTTCCTTGGTCATACCTTCAAGTGTTCTCAATGATCAATTTAGTATAGAACACATGACAGTCCCTTATGTGGTAGCATGACTTGTATTATGTCCCCTATGTGTCTGTGTTGTGTACTCTGTCCAAATCCAAATGAGGAAGGGACTCTATTGACCTTCCCAACCCACAAGTGTTTTTCTCCAATGATGTGCTTTATGATGTTGTTGTTGAGGTAACCTTGTGGGTTGGTGTTTTATTGAAATATGGAAAAAAAAAACTTCTGATGGATTGAGTGCCCACATAACATCAGACTATTAACCATTTCTATTCCATTGAACATGTGGTTACAAAAGTACTTTCCATGAGACTGCCTAACATGTTTGATCACTCTATTCAACAAAATACACCTAACCACCTAATACCAGAATAAAAAAACAGAACATTAAAAATGAAATTACCATAACAAGTGTAAGTGGTTATGTGTGGCAGTCCATGTGTTTCTCCTTTGCTGTGATGAGTCCCTCAGTCTGCATCAACCTGAAAATCTTATGTTCCTTGTTCAGTCCCTTGATTTACTGGCCTAAACATAGTGTTTAGGTACTCCACTGCCTCCAAAACAATTTCCTTCTGCACTGGTACATGATCTGGCAACTCTCCAAGGTTTTCCAGTTTTTTCTTGTTCATGTGGGGTATTTTGTACTTGTTCCCACCTTCTACCTTCAGGATCTCAATCATGCACTTTTGCAAACTCAACCAAATGTACTTGTTGACTTGAGGATTGAATGCCTCATAAGATTCCTGCACTTTTGTAACTAGCTCATCTAGGTTGTTTGGAAAAGACTGATATTGCAAAGATTCAAGCACATTCAAATATGGGGACTGTGCCGGTTGGAAAACAAATTGAATGTTAAATCCATGAGCTGTTGTTGCTGCCATAAACTCTGCATCAGTTGGAACTTGGTGAGGCCTTGCATTATCCCATTGGAGTACAATATTTTTTGGTACAAAGTCAGACCACTTTGAAATAATTGCTGGTATGACATTTGTCACCAACATGTCTCTGATTGTCTCTCTGTTTACATTTTGTATTGCCTTTGTTTCCCATGTTCCAGCCACTCTGTTTTTACTGGATTTCCTTGCTAGTTGTTTGACAGTGAATGGGAACATTCCATATTTCCCATCATGGAGTAGTCCCCCATTTGTGTCATACAATGGCTTCCCAATTAAGCCCATAAACATTGCTTTGAGCTTGAATCTTTTGGACTGTATTGGCCTATATGGATCTTCCTCACTAGGTAGGAGGTAAAACCTCCTCTTGTCTGGGTTCAGATAGAACCATTTCTCATCCATGTGTATGACATGGTTCATATCAACAAATGTGGGGTCCTCATTACTTGTTACCGGATTTATGTGTGACAAAATCCATTTAAGTCTTGCTACCTTGTGGTCTGATGTCAATGCAGGCTTGTTGCTACTTGTGTGTGTTCTTAACCTTCCCTTTTTCTTCAAATTGTGAAGGGTCACATGGGAGATTTTTAATGCTACTGCATAACTCCTCTCTGTCTGCCTTAAATGCATAGGGACTGATTGTAGGAATTCATCAGAAAATTCCTTTGGCTTTCTGCATACTCTGCCAAATTTTTTGGTCCTGACATCAATCAAACTGCCCTGTGCCATCTGTTTCTTTATGTCTGCAAAAATTCTTGTGATGGTTGATTTATGCACATTGAAATTAACTGATAAATGCTTTAGGTGACCTCTTGGTAAGTTCCCTTGCTGCATGTTGACCAACATTGAGTCCACAATTTCTCTTCTTTATTTCATGGTGAGCTGCTTTCCTTGTCTCTGTTGAGTCCCATGGTGAATGGGTTGTTCCATTTCCTGGAAACCAACCTCAGCTTGTGTGTCTTCTGTGTTTTGCTGGCCTTGGTCTTCTCCTTGTGTGCCTTGCATGATATCATCTTCAGAATCGTAGCCATCCATGCCTAGATCTTGCATAGTTTCTGCATAATCGTAGTACAATTCTGCCACTTCTTCTTCTGTCAGAATTTGATCAACATTGAAGTACATAGCGTCAAATGATTCTGCCATGGCTGTCTGACCTGTTTTGTTTGCTTAGCTTCAACTGATTGATGTAAGGGTGGCTGCTGTTTTTTGGGGAAGAAGATGAAGGAAGGAGATGCAGCTGCCTATGAAGGTGTTTGGGTGTTAAATGTGCAGGATTAATTTAAGATTAGGGAATTTTTTGGTATATAATGGGCTAACAACGTGTAATTAGTAATGCAGACTAACTTTTGGATGAGCTATGTTTTGGTTTTTGGTAGAAAGTTTAAGACAAAAACCATTTAATGCTTTTGGAATGATGAAGCTTGTATGTAAATGCCTCTTAAATGTTAAATGAAGGGTACATTTTAATACCTGCAAATTCCAAAGTGTTCTGTTTTTTTTTTTTTAAATTGTGGAGGGAACCCAAATTCCCAAAATTTCAGCCAAATCAAAATTTTGGTGAAGATTCACGTGGGAAATCAAATCCCTCCAAAATATGTACAGTTTTTTCCCACTTCTTTTGCTAGTGGTGGGCCAAACTTTCTCTCTCCAAACACTTTAATCACTTTCATTTACTCCCACTAATATTTGCCCCGTAACTTTTGCCTCGTGAACCGCAATTTGCCCCAAAGTTGCAAATAAAAATTAACGGAGGGAGTACATCATACTTATTATCAAACATCATAAAAATCATCACAAAACCAAAAAAAACAATAATTAGATCAAGGCTAGATTTAATTAAAAATAAAAAAAAGAATAATTTTTTTTTGTTCGGCCACCAACAGCCACGACACACGGTCGGGCTGCTACCGCGCCTGTCGGTGTCGCCGCGGCTGCTGGCATGCTCGCTGGTGGCTGCGGTGACCGGCCGGTGGTGTGTGGTGGTGGCCGGCGGTGTGTGGTGGTGTGTGTGTGGGTGGTGATAACACAAAATAAAATTAAAATAAAGGGGAAGGAGAAAAAATAAGGGGAAGGAAAATAAGAGGAGAGAGAGAGTTTACCTTTGGGCAAAGTTTGATTTTTGCTCATAAGATGGGTATTTATACCCTCTCTTAATAAACCTCCTACTTAAAATTTCATTTACTACCCTTAATGATCTTTTTCCTATTCAAACTAGTATTTTGACTTTCCTTAAATACCATTGACTTTAAAATTTCCTTTTATAAAATAATATGCCCCAAAGTTTCCAAATCATAAAATAAAATATTTTCAAGATTGTTAAATAATTAAAAATAAACTTTAATTAAAATAACTCTTTTTAAATTAATGAAACACCATAAAAAATTCATTTCGAATTATTTAAATACTTTAAGAAATACTTATTTAAATTAAAATACGTATAAAAATATGGGGTATTACACATTGTAAGTTGTAATGAGAGGAACAACTATGACTGACATAAACCAAACAGTCTGACGACTATTGAGGATTGTAAGCCTCAAAACCAAAATTTTCTGGTTCAGTAGCAGGTAAATCCCTTACAGCAAGAACCGAACACCAGAAAGGAGAATATCTTGTAAGGAAATTCAACATCCCTACCCTTTTAAGCCAGTTTGGAGTAGCGCCAAAAATCCATAAACTACAGTTATTAGGATTGTCCTTACGACTCATAACATGCCAGTTTCCTGGCAAAGGATCTAACTCTAGAAGGCAACGCATAACCAAATCAGGGCCAGAGACCTTCTGATGATCATAATACTTAAAACATATCTCAGCATATGAGTTGCTATGTTCATTCAAGGTTTTCTTCCTACAATCTGATTTAGAAGCGAAGTGAGCTTTCTCATCAGCTATTTTCTTCATTACCTCATCTATGGATTTCTCCATACATAATGTGGTGTATACTCCCCCAGCAAGTGATTAACCACAAGGGACCTCCAATATTTTCTAAGTTGAAAGATGATAGTAAAGCTTCTCTACACCTATACAAACATCTATAGAGCTGCCCTAACAATATAGGGCCTAAAGCTATAAATGAACTATTATGCGCAATTTTCACAGCAACTTGCAATAACACAGCAGAAATGCCACCAGACTTACACATCATCAAACGAGTAAGATCAAAAAGAAGGAAAGTACCTCTTCCTCGGATGAAACTCCAATTGAATAAGATGGTGATGTAAAGTAAGAGATGAAGGCATATCATTAAATCCAACCTTGCTACTCTTGGATATGGCCAGAATTTTCGTTAAAAGCTCATGGCTCCTCTTGTACAATGACTCTGCGCCAACAATGACATGGAAAACTCTAATTGCCTGACCTTCATCACTATAAGGGGAAAGGCCAGTTAAAAAATTAAAATTAGCTAGAGATACAATCATGCATTCTTGGCAAAGTATGAAGCATTTCAATACAAGATCCCATAATGATATAAGAGCGCATGTAAAAGATCTATTGAAGGGAATTTTTCCATAGGTCGCCTACTTAAGGAAACTCAAAGTTCTCTTATTAGCTCATTAAGAATGAAACTTGTCAAGCCGTTTAAACCAACCCCTAGTTGCTAAGTTCTGAAACCAACCCTTAATTGGATTCTGACTTAATATCCAATTTCCATTTGAGTTTAGGTCATTAAAAGCAAAAGGCCAAAGAAAAACCTTTGCCTAGAATACACTTGGTTAACTTTGCATGGACTTCCTTTATGAATTTCTCTTCTAATTCAGTGCTTGAGAGATCAAAAGAAAATGCTTACCCAATTGAGGTTGTATCTTTTAGGTGTTAGATTTTGATTTGGAAGAGGATATATGCCAAACGAAGTCGGATATGAAGTACTGAGGATATTTTTACAATTAATTCACATCATTCAAAAGGCTCAATTGGACAATCTTTACTTCTGATCATCTTTAAAACTTCTTTTTTGTAGGGAATCTACCATGACTCTTACAATTATAATTTGGAAAGATTCGAAGAGAGAAAGAAAAGAAAATCATAGATTAAATAGTGAAGTGATTTTTCAGACAAAAAGGTCCTCGTATGATTTAATAGTTTGTTCCCAACCATTGAAAAGGGTAGTTAAAAATCTCGTTTGAAGTTTTGTTCAGACACAAAATAATTCAAGAAGGGAATTAAATAATTCGCATCAATTGAAACAAATTGAATCGATTCCCAAAGCTAAACGACGCGTTTAGGGTTTTCCAATTCACAAGTCTCAATTTCAAGCGATACTAAGATAAAATTACAATTGTACCCTTCGATGGATTTATCAAGTAACACAATTGATATATAAAGGCAAGAGTTAAAATGCCAAAATGCTCGAATCATAATTAATGACTTCACCGGTCAAAATTTGTAGAAGCACATACGACATTTATGTCAAGTCTATAAATATATAGGCTTAAGTCAGAGTTATTTCTCTCCAAAAACACGCAAAGATTTATCTCTCCCTAAGAAACTCTCTTTCCCTAGAATGCTTTAAAGTTTTCTGATCAAAACCTTCCCTTCCTCAAAAAACCCCTTTGGCAAACATGAACGACACAAACGTTGCTGAGCCTCATCTGAGGGAGCCAAGAAGGCTAAACTGGAGGAAAGTTAATAAAAGACTTTTAAAGATGCCTCTTCAGATACAGAGGAAAGAGATGCAACATTGTGAGGAGATGGAGCGCCAAGATAATGAGAAGTAACGTGAGGAAAGAAGGAAGTTGCGCACTCCAGAGGAAGAAGCAGAGTATTAACGGCTACAGCGAGTCATGCATGGAGGAGGATAAGATTCTTTAAACCATGATCCAAAAGAAGATAAAGATGTAGATTCAACAAGGAGGGGACAAAAACATCGTCGCCAGAGGGGGAGATAATGATGTTGTCGCTAGAAGAAGGCGAGTAAAGAAGGCCAAGAATTTACCCTCAAAAAATCTTGGAAGGCAAATATGCCTGGATGAAGGGGATGATCCTGAAAAGGCAGATCCGGAAAACTATGAACCTACTAGTCCTAGAGAAAGAGAAGACTAAGATCTAGGGTTTTTAAGTTAGCCCTCTTTTTATTTTTGTTAAGTACTCAAACATGACGCTTTAACATGTTCTTAGTTTAATCCTATAAACTAAGTGTCGTAAACATGTTTTAAGATCATGTCTTAACTATGTGTAAAGTCTTATCTAATCTCAAAATATTGTTCCGAAAACAATATTATTAGGTAAGTCCTGTAAAAATCTGCATTAATGATAAATATTTTGGTTTATTAGACTTATTACTCCTACTTTTAATTCAAAAATTACCTACTCAAATATATTATTAGTTCAACCAAAATTAATATATGGATAATTATTGAATTTTTATCTCGATTAACCAAGTTAAACGACAGTAATAATTATGGTATTTAATTGTAAAGACACTTCTGGTTTTTGATAAAAATAATTAATGCCGGGTGATTATTACTTAATTTGGGAAATAAATCAAAAATTATAGAGGAAGATTCAAGGAGCGAATATATACATCCCTTCCCAAATAATAAGGAAGTGAAAGGGCATGTATCAAACGGTGTTTAAACATGGGGTAAGACGTGATTTCAAATCACTAAGAAAAATCATCCGACTTCCCATATAATAACCGCTTATGACCAAATATATCTATAACTATTTATAGTTATATTACTCCTACTTCCTCACCAACCTTATTTAAAGAAGTTCTTTTCTTTCACTCTCTACAAAGTAAAATTCACACTTTCTCTCTCTGAAAACCCAAAAATCTTCTCAACTTCAAAAGCATTTCTACAATGGAAGAAGGGGGGCAATCCCAATCAACTTCAAGAGATCAATTAAGAAGATTTGGAAGACCTTAAAGGATTGGAGATACAAATGATGGACAGATCAGAGAACTGGTCATTCACATGCCAGGAATCCTAGTTGATAATCCTCAGGCTATTCTGGAGGAATGGGGAACTTTGAAGTACCTAAGTGAATGTCCTAACCATCATTTGGCTAAGGACACACTTTCAAAGTGGAAACGCAACTACGTCCACACAAAGAAAAACAAGCTCAATCAAAGGTTTGTCAAGGGATGGGGTTACAAACCCACTATCTCGAGAGATCCAAAAGGTCATATTGTACGAAACACCTTTGATGTGGGCAGAGATCATGATTTGGTGAGGAATCACATCCTCCCCAAAGTAGAGAAAAAGGACCTAATCAACGCCGCACTTGTGTGTTAGGGTTGGGCTAGAGAAGTCAGGGTTATTTCTCCTTGCCCTAACTATGGCCAGCAACTAACAAAGTGGCTAGTCACCTATGTCAGCGATTATTACAGAGTTAAAGCTAAAAGGAATGGTGTCCTTCCAACAAGTGTATTATTCCGATAGAGGGTTCGGAATTATTAGAAAGCTAATTCTTCAGTGAGGTCAAGTGATCGGAATGCCTAGGTGGAGGCCGCTTCCGATCAGTAATATTAATGTATAATCAATATTACAGCTTAACCTTGACTGAACCCTTCGTGTCGCACCCTGATAAGTGTCATTTATGTCATTTTTAGGAGTTTCTAGTTAGTTTTTCATTGTTTTGATATCTTTTTACTTAGTTTTAATAAGGTTTTATTTCATTTGTCGTGTTTGCATGTGAAATGTCATTGTTGATCAATTTTGGATTTTCTTGCATATTTTTTGTTGCTTCTTGCATTAGATTAAACAAAACGTGTGCACTACTACATTCAAAGCAGCGTGTTGTGCGTGTGTGTGCTGTGGCGATGCGTGCTTGCTAGCATAGCAGCACCAGCCACAAGCAAGAGCCGGGCCTCGCTAGCACGAGCATCGCCAGCAGCGTGCTATGCGTGCGTGTGCTGTGGCGATGTGTGCTTGCTAGCATAGCAGCACCAGCCACAAGCAAGAGATGGGCCTCGCTAGCACACGCAACGAAGCAGCAGCAGCAGCCCGCATTGCGTGGCTTGCTTGCGGCGCTCTTGCGTATGCGGGCTGGGCTGCTAGCACAGCCAAGGTGCCAGGCGCCAGCTCTTGCTATTATTAACATATATAATAATTTATTTTTTTCAAAAAAGAAAAATAAGGACACACCAAAAAATGACACGTGTCATTGCTGGTGTGTCTTTTAATATATAGTTATAGTTATATATTATTATTATTATTATTATTATTATTGTTATTATTATTGATATTTAAAACATGTTTAAAACTTTTATAAAGCCCACTTGTCTCGTAATTAGACGATCATATAAAGATCCGCCCCGTTTATTTGTGAGACCCATATTATAACAATGGCGGGTCATGGCTTTTAAAGGCCTCCATTCCTATTTCCTACCTCGAGTTATTTCATTGAAGCGCACTCAACGTTCTCCATTGAAGCGTTCTCCGTTGAATCTAATTCTTGTATCCCCCATTGAAGCATCTTCTAAGGTAAGTTGTTTGTTGTTGTTATCATCACTTCAATTTCACAATCTAGGGTTTATATTTGATCTAATCTAATTTAATTATCAGTGCTTTAAGTTTAGGGTTCGTAAATTCTTAGATTATGAAACATCATATCCAAAAGAAAAGAAAATTATGAGCGTAATTTGATTATTGAATCAAATATCCCTAAAATTATGTATTTTTCGAGATAATTCAATATGAAATTATGAGCGTAATTTGATTAGGTTGAGCGATGGCGACGGGGATAATTCAAGCTCAAGTTTGCCATATTAGGAACAAGGATTATCATTTGGGTTTTGCGAAACATGTAGATTTTGTAAAGATTTCAAGTATCAAGAGGGTTAAGCCTTCAAGAAGTAAATTGTCGGTTATAAGAGTTCGAACCAGGGATCTGATATTGCTGAGCTTCAGCCTGCATCAGAAGGAAGCAGTCTCCTAGGTAAAACTATTCTGTCAGTCTATTGCAGTGACAAAATGAATTTTCTTAAAATCTGGCTCTTTGAATGTCATATGTGATTCCATAGTTTTTGTTAGCTTTTGTTTTCTAAAGGTCTTGGTAGGAGAAAAGAAAAGAGTGTAGTGTGCATTGCTTAACTCTTTTATGTAACTTCTAGGAACATATAAGTAACAATGATGCAAGATTGTCCTAACATTTTACGTCTCCGTTTCACAAGAGAAAGGATGGAGGGGAAAGAAATATGTATGAATTTTGAGTCTAGTTATCCCTTACACGAACCCATTGCATACTTTTTATGTATGAATTTTGAGTCAAGTATCAAGAGGGTTAAGCCTTCAAGAAGTAAATTTATGGTTATGGATATTTATGGAGAAAACCCTTTTGAAGGCACATATATTAAAGGTCTATTAATTGTTGGAACTTATTATATAGCTTATTAATTGAACATTGCTAAGATCAATCTGTTTAATTTATGATTGTTTGGAACTTGTATAGCTAAATATTAATGATTTTGATCATATAATTTAAATATTTTGTATGTGATTATAACTTCAGAAGAAGTAACATACTTACCTTAAATTATTTCGACAACAGTGACATGGACGACTCTTCTGATCACGATCAAGATTTCTCCGACGATGTAGGTAATCCTAATGGTGATTCTTCTGATCGCAATCAAGATCACTCCAACGATGTAGGTAATCCTGGTGGTAGTCCTAATGATGAAAATGTTACACCACCTGTAAGTTCTAAACATTATTATTGTTTTTGATCAAATTTATCTCTTGTTACAACATATCTAACACTTGTGTTTGACCTTATTGTTTACAAACAAAATATATAATCTGTGCAAACTTCACTTATACCTATAAGTCATTGTTGTTTGGATTATTAATAACAAGCGTACAAAATGTTTTGTTTGGTTTGATGATATTGATATGAAATATTTTGTTTGATTACTTATACCTATAAGTCAATGTTGTTTGGATTATCAACAAGTGTACAAACTGTTTTGGCTTGGTTTGATGATATTGATAGGAAATATTTTGTTTGATTTACAGCCCGAGTTGGAAGATATAGAAAGGATATGTTGTATAGGTGGAGGGAGGGTTGGAGTATTAACTATGATGGTGCTTGCTCACTATTGGCACATCCATAAACATTTCGTTTTGGATAAGGATGTTGAGAGGATTAATGATATGAATGGTATCAATGCTGCAAATGAAAGAGTTATGCCTTTTTCTGAGCTTGATATGGATTTATATCTTAACAAAGGTATTGACAGAGGGAATCTGCATTTTAGCTCCAACATTGATCATGAACTTGATCTATGTCAAATGGTTTTCATAGCAGTTGATATACCTCTTAAGATGAAGCCCAAAGTACTCAAGAATGACTTGGACATCAACAATTTTGAAGATGCTATCAAGAGTATACTACAATCAATAGATAGAATACCTGGTTGGAAGTGTGTAGCAATCAAATCTACTGTACCAGTTGACTATAAATCAAACATTGCCAACCACATTCATGGGTTTTACGATGCTTGGCGTCTTAGCGTCATTACAAACCCGGAGTTCTTTTCTGTTGGTACTGCTGTTCAAGATTTGCTACATCCTCAGAAGGTGGTATTAGGTGATTTCTATGAAGGTCAGAATAGTTTAGCTCTCTTCAGAGATTTGTATGCGGGAGTGGTCAATGTTGATAATATCGAAATCATTGGTTCACAATCTTCTGTGCAAATAGGAAAGTTATTATCTAATGCAGTTCTTGCAGCTCAGTTGACACTTATGAATATCGGATCTACCTTATGTGAAAAGGTTGGCTCGAATTTTGATGATGTTAGAAGCACCATAACTGCAAACTCAAGATTGAATCAGGTTTTTACTAATTCAAGACCGGGTTATGGAGGGATGGGTTTGACAAAAGATATAGATTATTTGGCATATTTGTGTGAGTATGTAGGAATGACATTTGAAAAGAAGTTTTTTACCATGATTAGTGAAATGAGAAGAAGAAAGATGGATGAGCTGGTGCAAAATGTTTCACACATGATTGCAGCTTCTAAGAGTATAGCTATATATGGATTTTCAAACAAAGTGGATTCAGATGACATCAGAGAATCACCGGCAATTTATATTTGTCGATCATTGTTAAAGATTAACGGTATTCGTCTGAAAATTTTTGATCCATTAGTTTCTGACAATACGATCCTCAAATGCTTTGTTCCTAGAGAGAGAAATCGAATATTGGTTGTTGATAACATAGGAGGTGCTTTTGATGTTGAAGCAATGGTCTTCTTAGTTGAATGGCCAATGTTTGCTACTATGTTGGAGGAACAACGTGATGAGCTAGTAAACACAATGAGAAGGCCATCCTTTATCTTTGATTGCTGTGATTTGATTGTCGATGTGGATGGTTTTGATCATATTCAGATCTACCGATTAGGAAAACCTAAGCTCAGCGCGATTTAATATGCTCGTAGGTGATAGTGATGAGCTTTGATGATTGAGATGGTAGATGATGGGGGGAAGCAGGGGATCAAAACTCCATTTGATGAAAGCTGACACCAAAGAAGAGGAGAGAAACACCTTTTTAGCTTTTTTTTCCTTTGACATACACCTTTTTAGATTAGTTTTAATGGTTTTGTAATGAAATTGAGTTAATTTTAGTTTGAGTATTAAAAATTTAGTAGTATGATTTTGCCTTGATTTTGAAGATCTCTTACTTCATACTTTTGCCCTAGTATTGTACTTATTGGTGAACCTTTTGGGTTGTATACTTTGATATGATTACATGTTTATTTCATCAAAATTCCTCCTTTGATAGATCGTTTTGCTTAGGGTTGGAAAAAACTGACACAACACAATACCCATCCCGAAACTAGCAACTTTGGGTCAAAAACTCTCGGCCTATTTAATTAATTAGCTTGACAAGTTAAATAGGTTAAATTTAAGTTGAAATTTTCAAATCAAAACCGACACACCTAACACGTCAACCCAATATATGATGTTTATTTAAGTATTCAATAATATTAAATCCTTTGAATAAATAGTATTATAAATTGCAATCCATTTCGTCAAAAACAGAAAATTGCAAACCACATTATCGTTTAACTGAAAACTTTTATGATATAAATATTTTGGCTGGTAAAAATTTTGGGTGAGGGAAATTTTATCGCAATTTTCTTTATAAATTAAAATGTTATAGACAACATTACAAGTAGATTAAATATACCGCCAATAACGATAATTTGCAAGTCGACCCTTCATTTTTGGATAGCAGTGTTTCCAAGTTGCAGAACATTTAGGACAACGCTGTTTAGTGCACCTCAAGTGCAACTTTATACCAGCAGCCTTACAGCGAATCTCTTCTTCATTCCACTCCACAGATTGAGATATCCCAATACTAGCAGTCTTTTTGCAGTCACGGACACAGAAACTATGTCGGGTATCCAACACCTCCAATCGTTTGTGCCCATCTAATATTGTTGACAACGCAGTGATTGATAAAGCACATGAGATGAGATACAATCGTCTGAGTCTAGGACATCTATCACGGATTGCTATTGCTGCAGCATCATACACAACGCCAAATAACTGAAGACTTTCAACCTTTTCAAAGCAGACTGAGCGGAATACAAACAGATCTACAGGACACTTTACTTTCTTCAACTTCCTCCAATAACGCATAGCTTGCATAAAACATGAATATCTGTAACCCAAGGCCTCAGAGATAACCAACCGCTGCAGGGAGGGTGTCCTGAAAAGTGCATATAAATTTCATAAAGAGGGCATACCCTAAGATTAACATTAGCAAATTGCATACTGATATCTTGATACATGTGATGAATCCAATTTTATCTGTAGTACTCCGGTATTCTGCCATCTTAATAATATCATTCAGTGAGTAAAGCCATCTTCAAGAGTCCAATATCCGGATTTTTCCTCCCAAGATGCCCCTGCTATTTAACAATCAACTCCCAAAAACCACTATATACGCCTAAAACATTGAAATAAATGTACCCACAACCCCCTGTTATCCTTAATCTTTCAGGAAACATCCTTTGACAATTTCAATGGCATTCTCAAGATCCAATAAGTTAAATCTCTATAAAGATCAACCATAGGAATTCACATTGCTGACAAGTGATAATAAAGACTGGGAAGGAACCAAAAAAACATTCCATTTTCAATGGGATCAACTATAAAAAGACAAAGTTGACAACAAATTCATCTACCTTTCAGCTATATAGACATACTTATGTGTTGTGTGACTAGCAAAGTTTTAGCAAGGCACAATGCAGACAAAATTGACAAAAAAATTCATTTACCTTTTAGCAATATAGACATACTTGTGTGCCTTTAGCACAGTTTCACCAATGCACAATGCAGAACAAGAGTCAACTGGCTTAGTATCCAACATATGCTTCAGGAAACAAAGGTATCTTCTCTGAAACCTGGGGAAATCAAAGTCATTTTTCAACTTGTGGGGATCTATGACTTTGAGGTTGATCACACCACCAGGTGACAATGAGTCTAATACTGCTGCCAACCACGACTTGCTTACCAAACATGCAACATAAAGCCTACAACGCCAAGGCACTCTGTTAATTATACCCATTAATATATCGTAGTTCAAGTCATCCCAGCTTCGCACCATAGTAGGGCCAGTTTCCGCCCTAGATGCTGCTCTAGAAAGTCTTGCAGCCTTCAATCGCATCTTTATACTGACAATATAAGACAAACAGAGGGACAAAGAGATTATATCAAAACCAACCATAAAATAGCTCCATGAAAAGACGTGCAGTAGATATAATATTCAATTGAATTCTATTTCTAACCACGCTTTCTACCTTCTACAACACAACCTAACTTAGAGGCAATTGCACAGCCATCAGATGTTGGAATAATTTCAAAACTAGTTTTGCTTTTTCAATGCAGCAAGCTTGTAAATAAAACACATGACAACTGAAGAAGTGATGACAAAATGTAGATCCTAAGCAACCTTGGCCAACTATACATACATTGCACGGCTGAACAGCTAAAATAACGTTGCCGTAATTCAGAGTTTGCCTTTTTAGTCCATCTTTTTGCTCAATAACAACTACAATCATACAATAATAAGACCAACCAGATTAATTTTACATATAATATCTATTTAAATTATCAGCACTTAGATAAAAAAAATTTTAAAAAAAAATAAAATCAAGAAAAAAGAATCTGGAATTTCATCTAACAAATTTTAAATTAATACTCAAACCACCAAACAGGCAAACAGGATAATCTAAGTATTATCTAATCCCTCAACACTTCAAACTATAACTGCAAATTAATTTTTTTACAGCAATAACAACAGAAACCTTGAAATGAATATTGAAAATTGAACCGAATTTCCAATTGGGTTATGCCAATTGGTGGAAGACACTTTTCTAAACCAAATAAACAACCAACTAGATGAACAAAGGAAAATCATTGGAGTGTTTTGCTTTTCTAAACCCCACCTCCTCTAAAACCACCATCTTTCTCCTCTGTGGGAAGCTCATTCGAGCCCGTAATAGGGGGAACAAACTCCCTAAAGACCGTAGAACTCAACAGAGGCCGATGTAAGAACGAAAAGAACGAGGGCTGCAATGACGACCTCAAATGCATTATGGGCCCTATAGGGTAATTTTGAGAGCCCCGAATTTGTTGTGGAACAATTTTAGGGGTTCCAAAGTTCAAATGTGGGTGTGAAAGTGGTATATCAGAAGGTCTCTTATAAATTTTACTAAGACTGTAATTATTATTACTAGAGTGTGGGGCTTAAGGGAGAAAACTAATTAAATATTTTGAGGAAATTACATACGGAGCATAAGAATGTATTTTGCCTTCACAACAATACCTGAAAATTTTAATACCATTAAGGATATATTAGAAATCTATGTAATTAATGTTTCGGTAGAATTTTAAGTACTCTGTAATTGAATTAGAATATGTATTGTAAGATGTCATTAATAAACATAAGATTTACCATCTCAAATCTGCAAAGTGCTTATATCCCGTTAATGCATGGGATCTTGATAATATAAGAAAAATATATATATAAGGTTTCAATAGAGGTTTAAGTACTCTGTAATCATACTTCACAATTAATGACATCTTAACGATAGAACACACATTTTAAACAATGTAACTCCTTTCTTATCCTAATTCAAAACACCTATGTTTCTAAAAAAAATATAAACCGCAACTCTGTGTTCATCAATAATTCATTATTGATATGCTTAGCCTGCATACCAAATAATAGCTTGATGCATGCTTTACTAGTTTCTCAATCAATCAATAATCATAAACATGCAATCTATGAAAGAACAAAAAAAAAATCATTTTTGCTACTTTGTAAGTGATAAGTCTGATAACCAAATTCATATCAAATCGACAAAACACAAAAACTACCACATTTCATCACCAAATTAAGCCTAAAATTTCCCTACCTAAAAGGATTCAAAATTAATTTAGCCAAATAGAAATTACATCTTTCTTCACAATATCAGAAACCCAAAATCATCAACAATAATTCCGCCATACAAGTGAAGCAAACATAACAAGACAGCAAGAGTCACTTTATCAACCATGATTAATTTATTTAATGGCGGAAAATTCAGGAACATAATTTATGCATCTTTCTTTCTCCTCTTCTTGCAATTTCAAATAAATCCCACAAATTGGGCCATTATGAATTCTTTACATGAGATGGATTGTAAATTTGATCGGTAAAAATTTGCGGCAGGCATATAAGTGTGTAAATCAAACAATTAATGACAAAAAAAAATCTGCAGAAATAATACTATAATCAATTAGTAATTCTGAGATAAGATAACAAAAAATTATAATCAAGTGAGATTGAGAAATAGAATCATCAGCAAAGAATAGACAAAAAAACAGTGCACATGCTAATACCAATCCAGCGCTGTTATCAGACAACAGATAACAAGAAAAACAGAGGAGAGATATGAAAAGAAAAATCTGCAAGAGATGCAATCTTCAAGATACAGAAGACATCTTAAATAAATACTACTTGAACCGTATCAGACCTCAAATAATTTAAAAAAATATATATATATATGATCAAACTAAAAGGCGCAGAACTTTCTCGATTTTGACAAAATATATGAATAAATCCATCAAATATTATAATCATATGAAATCCCCAATGCCCAATAACTAACAAAGCAATTAAGAAAAACTAAACATACAGCCAATTGAATCAAAATAAAATCCAAAAAAAACATTTAACATTGAGATAAAACTAAACGCACGAAATTTTTTCAAGTTTAGCAACATATAAGAGCCCATCAAATATTATAGCCAAATGAAACTAAAAATTTCAACACCTAACAAATTAATCAATCAATTATGATTACGATAAATCCCTTCTGCAATATTCAAATTCTGCATTTTACCATTAATACCCAATTATAGTCACTTTGATTATGAACAGAAGACGAACAATTACCAAACAATGAGGCAATTACACAAACTAAAAACCTTAAACCCTGACAGATTGAGTTATAATATCCTCAAAACAGCAACAATACCAATGGATGTGACAGAAATGCAAAACCCTGGTGAACAGAATTCAAAGTGAATTATAGTATTTTTTTTTTTTTCATTAGAAAATTCAGAAAAATGATAAAGAGAAAGTAAAATGCTTGTAAAAGATTGTCTTCAAAAGAGTTAGCAACAAGCTTTTGAAGAATTGAAGAAAGAGAAAGAAAGGATGATTCTCTGTTGGGTTGAGTTGAGAAGAGAAATTCCTATCCATCAGTTTTGTTCTTATCCAGTTGACAGGAGTTCATCTACAGTGTTCTTGCTTGGCATTAGGTCTGTTCAATGGGCAGGGTTTGATCCAATTTAAAACGGTCTGGGCCAGGCTGGGTCAATGGTACTCATAAATGAGGCGGGTCGGGAAAGCCCATCTAACCCGATCTGACCAGACCCATGTAAAATCTAAAAAAATTAATGAACTAAAGAGGCCCATCTGACGTGTCCCGACCCAATATATAACCCCATCTAACCCAACCTATTTAAAATTCAAGCCCATCAATGATCCTTCACAAAACAAATTCAGAACCTACTAGAAAAATAAGGGAATTAGTCAAACTTATTACTTAACTACACTATACATCAGTGAGAAATCATTACACATCATCTAATAAGGGTGTGTTCTGTTTACCTGATTTTAACTTATATGAACTTATCTAATCTTATCTAAACTTACATGAACTTGTTAAAACTTATTTTAGTTGTAATTTGAACTTGGATAACTCAAAACTTATTTTTCCTTAATTGAATTTAACTAAACTTATGTGAACCCTTTTTTTTTAGGAAAATTAAACTTACGTAAACTTATTAGACTTGAAATAAGTGAAAATAAGGTGAGCACAACAGTTGATAATAATTAACTAATAAATGAACGCTACTTCATGGCAAAAGGCATGGATTGCAGAGCTTGAAGTTGGCAAATAATATGGACTGTTCATTAGTGTCCAATTCACCTTTAGAACGAAACCTGGACTCGAGGGTCAATTAGTGAATCAGAGCGTTAGTCAGTGAATCAGTGTCAGTGATCAATAAGTGATCAAGACAGTTAATATTTTACATTGTATTGTTCATTAGTGTTCAATTCACTTTTAAAACAAAATGATAGTGGCCATATGCAAACATGTAATACTCTCAACTAACCATGTTTTAACAGTAGTTTATATAGCTCCTGCAACAAGAATGCTATACCATAATTACCAACCATGATTTAACATCAAACATTCAATTCCAATATAATAAAAATTATGAATTCAACCCTTAAAAGGTTCACCTCTTTATCATCATTAGAAAATCACAACAAGTCATATGCAAGCTTAAAAACCAAAAACCAAAAAAAAAAAAAAGAAAAAAAAAAGCGCATCAGTTCATCTAAATCTAAAATTAACATTAATTTACCACCAAAAAAATTATAAAAAAAATGTACTACGTAATTTTTATTCATCATTACAATATTTCATCAACCCCGGATGCATAAAATATAAATATTAATATTAGTTCAACCAAAATATGCATAGATTTTCCACCAAAAAAGTTCAAAAAACAAAAAAAATTAAAAGAACCCCATATTAGAAAACTAACCAAAGAGTAAGAAGATCTCACCAGAGATGAGCAGGCCCGTCCCTGAGGCAGGACAGGAGGGGCGGCCGCCCTAGGCCCAGGGAAAAGAAATCTAATTTCATATTCAATTATCTCGAAAAATACGTAATTTTAGGGATATTTGATTCAATAATCAAATTAGGCTCATGATTTTCTTTTCTTTTGGTTATGATGTTGCATAATCTAAGAATTTAGAACCAATTGTTCAGATTTACGAACCCTAAACTTAAAGCACTGATAATTAAATTAGATTAGATCAAATATAAACCCTAGATTGTGAAATTGGTATGATGATAACAAGAACAACAACTTACCTTAAAAGCTGATTCAATGGGGGATACAAGAATTTGATTCAACGGAGAACGCTTCCATGGAGTCCGTTGAGTGCGCTTCAATGAAATAAGTGAGAGAGGTAGGAAAGGACGCCTTTTAAAAGCCATCACCCGCCACAGTTATAATACGGGTTAGATCCGTCTAATAAATAAATGAGGCGGGTCTCTATATTCATCTAATTATAGGGCAGGGCGGGCTTTATAAGTAAATATCT